TTTTCCAAGAAACGTTTGAAAAAAAGAAGGAAACAAAAGATCAAAAYGCATTTTGTGAACGTTTTGCAGTGTAGTTAATTTATGACACATTTCTGCACAGAAAATGTACAAATCTTTCAGGTTTCCTATATTGTGTCCCCCCTGAATAATAAACTYATTCATACACCATTGCTTTGTACATCTCAATTGTTTTTCTCTTACAAAAATACAGTGATGTCATTTCCTCAAAGGGTGATAGCCTACTTTTGTCTTTCCAGTAATTTAATATCACAGAATGATTCAAGCCCAGGAGGAATGAGCAGAACCCAAATGATGCATGTGAATTTTATTGCAATTTAGTCTTCATTATTTCAAACCCTTACTTCATAGCACAGCATGAGATTTATGCCTTGCAGTTTCCAGCATGATGCCTCCATTGAGAAAGTCATTTCTATTGATTGCTTTTCCAGGCATCATTGAATATGATACATGCTCCCTTGTAAACAGACCTTTGTCTGCCGATTCCACATTTGGTGTCATAAATACTTTAAAAAAAAGGAGCTTGTGGAATAACAGGAACTGGTATAAAGCTGTAGAAGAGGCTGGATTTAAATAAAAGCCAACAAAAGGAGGGTTTGTTTTGGGTAGATGTGGTTTACAGTAAAGCATGTTCAGGATAATTCTCAGAACAGAAATGAGAATATTTGTTTCAACGCTGCCCTCAAGTGGAGCTTTCCAGGATTGATAGATAAAGCACAGACCGATATGTTACCCACCAAACTCATTATGGACTGATCTGATCTGTGACGGTGCAGCCTGACTTCAGACTGTASAATCATGTTTATCATGCTGCCACCTGCTGGAGTATTTTTATAATGGCACATATGAACACAKTTTCAAAAAACTGAGACAAGGCTTTATTTCAAATTGATTAAATGGCAATAATAAAAATCTGTATTACAGCATACTAAAGAAAAATGTCAAAACTAGAAAAAAAAAAGGACAAAATGCCCACTATACATTTAAATATGTACAACTTTGATAAATAAGTCAATACTGTTGAGCATGATGGCTGTTTTACTTTCGTAATTTTCTGGGAGCAGTGCACTTGGGGGGNGGGGTGCACAGAGAGAAAACAAGTGAAAACCACCTGATGGACAAGATGACGTTTGTGAAAGTACACCTTACCAATTTATCTTGTTTAACGAGTCACTGCTGCAACACAACTGGTCAGCCACTCTGTCCTTTTTTCTAGCTAAAACATGCTGAAGATACAAAAAAAAATAGTTTCACGTCAAACACCCCGAGATACTTTTTTCAGGCAGTTTCAGCTCACCTAAAGCCTCAATACCTCTTTCAGTTTGGCTTAAACAATGAGTGTGTGTGACAAACAAATGAAAAGATGACTACAAATAAGAAACGTACAAAAGGCAAAAAAATAAAAATAAAAAATACAATTTGTTTCACCGGTAACAGAAAATCTCCAGTCATCGTTGCCAACCAGCAGCAATTTGAGTCAAGCACTAAGCYCTGTGCAGCTGTTACGTTTTCTACCATTTTAATGACTTTGGGGTCACACAGTCATGTTGATCTTACTAAAAATCAAAGCCAAAGTGCAAGCAGAAACTATTTGTGTTGAGAAACTTTAGGTTGACTTTCCTCTTCAGGACCTTTCGGGACAGTTTGGTCCAACACGGAGCTGACGTCCAGACGCTGCAGCTTCACGTTTACAAAAACTCTCCAATCCAAACTGAGCACTTTCAGGACCTTTTAAACATAATAAAAATCTCTTTAGTGGCAACTTTTTTTAAAGTAACAGAAGTGTTTTCCTTTTTTTAAATTCATATAGAAGCACTGGTAAATTACTCCCACCCTCAGACCTAAAACAGCCTCTCAGCAGCTTTTTCTAAGAAATACTATTGAAAAGAAAACCAACAAAGTAAACTTGATAGGAATAAACATCAAAAGCTGTAAAAATAGATACATAATAACAAAACTTTTTAAAGCAGATTTGAAAAGATTTGTGAGGAATAGTTTGGTCGGGGTGCCGCACTCGGGTCAGACCTGCTGAGTTGAAACGACGAGTGGGAAAAGGAACTTCCTGTTGGGAGTTCATACAATGTTTACAAAACTTCAGATCAGGGGAGCGTGCTTAAAGCCTCTTCAAAGGGGATTTTTCTTTAGTTAAAAATAACAAAATTTCCTTCCTGCCTCAGAAAGAGAGAACATGTCGAGGCGTGAAAGACAAAGGGTGACAATCAAGCAGGATTATCTAAACCCCCAGCATGCTTCCTGATGTTTCTGCCCTGCAGAGTCCAGAATTAGTCCCTGAAGGGGCCAGAGGCGGACCACGACCGTGTCCTCTGCACCAACCCAGACGAGGTGAGCAGACAGCCAGACCCCCTGCTCCGTCAAGTGCAATGTCGGAGAAGCTGAGCAGCTCTAATGCCTCTTCAGAGACGACACCTTCTTCTTTCTGGCCGCCAACATTTCATAAAAAGGATCCCTGCTGATGGCAGCTCTGTGGAAACAAAGGAAAACTTTAATAAAAGAAAATGCAGAGTTCATAAAGTGCTGTAATGTTCTGGAGCCCCTTGTTCCAAGTGGCTTATTATTTGATTTTAGATAAACTGTCTGTAGATKTGAGCTACAGCGTATGACAATATTTAAATGGGAATTAAAAAAAAAAAACTACATTTAGACACTAAATACTTTGGTTCAACTACACATATTCCCTAAAATATTGATGATTTTTTTTTACTTGATTTTAATAAGAAAACTTAGAAGTTTTTCAAAAGAAATTTATGAACACTTGAATAATTAGCATGAGGTGAAACTTTATGTAAGCTTTAAGACTTRATTTTAATGAGACAAATGTATAAATGAGGCACAAAAAGCATTTAGATCACTAATAATTAACCATTAGGTGTGAATGAGCCCAGATTTCAGAATATTTTTATGTAACTTTTGTTTGTTTGCCAAGTTTAATTTCCCAGAAGAGGAAATAAAATCYAGATTGATGCAAAGCTACAAAACTGTCGCTCCTTCTCTGTGCCATTGATCCAAACTGTAAATGTAAAAGGCAACACAATAAATCACAGCAGCTAAAGTTACCTACATCTGTTTACAGGAGCAAGTTTGCAAAAATGTTTCATTTATGAGTATGGGCTCTAAATGGCACAATTTAAAACACTTTAACATGCCTTGCATTTAAAAAAATGTATGTTAAAAAAATTTACTTTATGCTGTTCATCCAGTCCTCTTTTTCCTCAGCAGTGGGAGCAGAGATACGATAGAAAGTGTGGTTTCCCTCAACAACACGTCCATCAGCCTCAGTTTTGCACGCTTTTATTACCTGGTCCTTATTCTCAGAAATGTAAAGCTCAAAGCAATTCTGGGGGGGAAAAAAGAAAATAGATTAACTGGAGTCAAAAGACAAAACTAAACACATTTTCAGATTCCTGCTTTTCAAGCTACATTTTGATCCTTTGTTGCATCACTCTGATGTCATGAGTGGTTTCAGAGATGTGGCTTGATAATCAGGATGAACCTTGGGTGAAAATCAGTCTGAATCCTATTTTTAGCGTAATCTAATGATGACTTGTTGACATGTAAGATGAAACCTCAAACCATATTTGGATACTGGGATTTCCCAGTTGGTGTTAAAAATATCAACAATCTTTAGGATTATATACAGACATTTCCTTCTATAGAGGGTATTTATTAATAATACTTTGACTAAATGAAATTAATTCTAATTTTTATACCAATGCACTATAGCTGCCTGTTAYTTCACTACACCTCCTTACAACTTAATCCTCCGTTTGATATGACAGGTAAAAATAATGCTAAAGAAAACTGTTGTTACATAAAACWGCTAGGATCTAGGAGTAATCCCACAATGAGCCAGCAGATGGCGCTGTACTTACAGGTTTCTTATCCTCCACCTCTCTGATGCTCAGGTTCTCCAGCGGGATGATTCCTCGTGGTTCTTTGTCCTGAAAAATGTGCAAATACCTAAGTGACGTTGAACTGCACATCAAAGAGCAGTGACAGTAAAAACTGTACTCACCGTGGTGTACTCAAAGTAGTACAGACAGTTGTCTGTCAAAATGAACCATCTCCTCTTCCAGGTTTTAACTCGTCCCCCTGTGGAGCCAACGGTTAGCATCAGTGAAGCTCGACCAGAGACAAAACCGAGGAGAGAGGAGCGAGCACCAAAGCACCAGATCGAGCAGCAGACAGACAGACAGATGTATGGGCAGACAGACAGATGACAGCTTCAGAGGACTCTTCTCACCCAAAATGCTCCCCATCACCACTTAAACATTTTACTTCTCTTACTGATTTAAGGACTTCAAACATTAYATGACAATCTAAGATTTAAAACAAATTTCTGAACGTTTAGATTTTGACTGCCTTGAATTCATCCATCATTAAAACTTTGATACACATCGTAGGTAATTTACAACTACCGTATTTATTCGTGTATAATACGATCTCATGTAWAATACAACCCCCCCTATTTTTAGCCTAAAATGCATAAAAATTTAATTCTCATACTACCTCTAATTTTATATGGACTTCAGGATTTTTCAGCCTTTACAGTCATTATATATATCAGTAAAATTATCATTTGACTGTTGTATCAGCTTTTAATTTTATTGCACTATAAAAAGGTACAAAACAATAAATGTCTAACTACGACGAAAGCTATCAATGCTCATTTGTTAACTGGTGTGATATAACAAGTGTTGATGAAGCTGAATCAAAGCCTTCAAAATSAGGCTCACCATCATCAGTTTCATTAAAAGTTTCTGGTACTCCTCCTCTGTAATAAAGGCATCAGAATCCCACTCAACAACAATCTCATCCTCTGTGTCTCGCGAGCGCCCCCTCTGGTGGGGAAACTTTTTTCAGGTAGACCAACTTTTACAGAACACCGGTAGACGGCAGCCATTACAGACGACCATGTGCTTGTTGTTGTTCCAGGAGCGGCCCAGTTGCACATTAATGTCATTAGTTCGTTATGCAGGACTGCTTTTTTCCCTTTTTTTTCACATCATGTTGCCTGTTTGGATCTGTTACTATCTCGCTCGGAGGCACAAAGGAGTGTTAAGAGGTAAGATCGCTTCAACTGTTTTTTACGATGTGGTTTCATTTCCGGGCTCAGGAATTTTGTGAATGAGGTCCATATTTCAGTTAAAATAAATCCACAAAAATATTTCTCCGAGTATAGTACTACCCCCCCCCCCAACTTTGTGCACGATTTTATGGATTCAATTTTATGTATTATACTTGAATAAATACGGTATAGCAAAGTAAGAGGTCTTGAAGGCAGTTATGAGCTTATGAGCTTTAAATTTGGAAAGTAAGGAGWGACCAATAGATTAAGTTTTGACATCTATGATGAGTTAACGCTGGGCTTGCTGATCTGAGGTTGACCTCCTGGCCTCTGAGACCTGGACTTCCTGTGAGGTGAAACCTGAGCAGAGAAGCAGCTGGAAGCTAAACTCTGAGACGAGAGGATGCCAACAAACTGAGCAGTACAGGAGGCTCTGCCGTTCAGCTTCTCTAACGGCATCTCAGACATGAATATCCTGTCTGTCTAGACTAGAAAATCCCACCACCAATGTTAGTAAAAAGTCAGACCCGTATCCCAACAGATGAGGTTTTAAAGAGATTTCGGTACACACATATAGAACACACTCCTTATCATATGACAGCAGTGACACTGTATATGACATCACACGATCAGACACCTCAGTTTCAGCATCTACAGACACCAGTAATGATGGACAGATTGAGGTCTGCAGCTCCTCACCACATGAAGACTTTTGAATGTTGAAACAGAAAAAATATAACAGACTGACAGACAACAGACGCAATAACAAAAATCACACAGCTGATGGCCGAAGACTTGATTGGGCCATTTCGAGGTTGTGATTGATTTGATGTCAGTTTCTGTCACTCATAAAAACAAAGTTCCCGAGCAATAATGTGTGGGATGAGACGGGACATCCCAGCACATTGTTGCAGGGGTGTGTGGGAGGTGCTGGGCTGGGCTGGAGCTGAGAGGAGAGAACTACCCATGCAAGATAGGACTGTGGAAAGACAGACCACTGGGGGTTAAAAGATATGGTTTTATTGCAAACCCCATGCACTCGCTAGTTTCCTTTTTAAAACGGTTTCTGATCTGTTCCTTTGTAATAGTTAAAATATGTTTGAGTCCCTTTTCATACATCCCTCGACCCATGCTACTCTCACAATTCAGCCCAATCCAGTCCAGCATCACAACAGGCTGCAGCCACCGTTACCCTCCAGATTCATTTCTAGCATGAGATAAGTAGAGCAGAGCTACGCTGATGAAAAGATGCAGTATTCCCTTTTCCAAAGAGCAAACAACAACTCCCCAATGGTTGGCTGGTTTTGATCGATTCTAAAAGAAAGTTCTTTGTTGTGTTCGCTGAATGGAAAGAAGGCATAATGCAGCTTCCCGGAAAAAAAAAAGATCAAAAAAAGATCAAAGAGAGTGACCACCAGAGCATACAGAGAACAAAAACGGTACTCAGAGTGGTCACAAAGCAGCAGCACCCCAAGTCAAGCCCAAGAGGTGACAAATTCACCCGCTGACCGCCCAACAAACAAAACCTCCAGGTTCGATGACAAACAAGAGACAAACATCTGAAATTCACGAGTCGATGGAGACAAAAACAAAATCGGAGAAAACAAAACCCTGTTTTGTATGTAATTAAATGAAAAACAGAACAAAAGCATGGCAGACCACCAAATGCACCTGAGAGCTGAGAGATGGACTAGCGTTGGGGAAGAGCAGGTGTACATACCTCCTGAGGAAAGACAACAGCCAAAATCATGGGAACAAACAAACAAACGAAGAGGAAAAGAAAACATAACAAATCAAATTAAATGATAAGAAATTAGCACCACAGTCCTTTTTAATCCRCTTCCAGTGAGGCTTTGATGCACTGCTTTACAGCTTATTAAACATTATCTGTCCACAAGAGGGAGCTCTACTCGATGCAGACACTTGAAAGCTACTGTAAAGCACTACATGAAATATTAACCTCCACTTGGGTCCATCTCTGGTATATCAAGTAATCAATCTTCCACCCTGATTATTTAACTCAATTCTCCCAGTAAGGAGCCACTGGAGAAAGTGTTTCTTGTTCCCGTTGTAAAGATTCACAGTGATGTTAAGGTTAAATTTACAAATTCACTGTTTCACTTTGAATCTGTACAACACAGAGAAAAAAAAAATTATCAGAGGAAATAGAAGGTTAGGAGTTGAAGTATTCAGAGATGTGTTTTCCTGTTTAAGGAGTTTGAAATGATATGGAACATTTTTTAATCAAAACAATTAGCTGATATAAACTGAGCTGGTCATCAGGGACAATCCACTTCATAGTCACAAATTTTGTAAAAATGAGGGCAAGGTGAAAATTAAAAAGCTGTAAAAGTTCTACATAAAAATCTCTCGTGTTGGGAATGTCTACTACACAAAACTTTTGCATTTCAAATATTTATTACAATTCCTAATATTACAATATTTTCCATGTTAGTGTACATTCCTAATTTACAAAATGTCAACGTTTTACAGAAAATTTGCGTTTTGAGAACGGTTTGCATGTCTGTCTGTGAATTTGTTGTGAATTATTCAAATGTTTACATGTCTGGTCTTTTAAAGCTACATACATTATACATTAAAGTAAGCCGAGACATTTTCACGTCTCCAGCTGTGTGTGTGTGTGCACATATTAAAACATGTTCATATGCACTTTAACGCACACAAACACACTCTCAGCCTACTGACCTCGGGGGAGACATTCATCAACCTTCAAAACACGCTGAAATACAGACACAACTGGGTCTTTTATTAGATGAGTCAAAACAATCCATGCTCTCATTTCAGAGTATTTCTAAATAAGTATGAACACGAGATTCATCACTCACCCAGTTTTAACAGCCAGCCTTCTCTGTCTGGGTTAAAGAACGTGTGTGTGAGGTCGTTTCCGTCGTCTTCTGGAATTTTGAACGGTTCGTTCTTGATACTATCGTACAGATTCTAAATTTAAGAGGGAGTTAAATATGAATACAATGTTTGAGAAAAGCCAGGTGTAGACGACCAGCAGAGTCTGAAAGTGCTCTTCACCCTGAGCAGATCTTCGGGTAAGTCTCCTCCGTCGTTGATGCCTCTGTTCATGGAGATGAATCGTTCCACGGTTGGCTTGTCCTTCACATTTGGGTTGTGGAGGCTGGTGTTCAGCATGATGATAGCAAAGGACAGGATGTAACAAGTGTCTGCAACATAACAGAGAAATACAAGAAAGTTAAAAAAAATGTTGTTTACCATGAAGACACCATTGTATAATGTAATAAATGAAAAAACAGCTGATCTGAATGTGCTGCAGTTTTCAAAACACAGCCAAGGTTAGGATGGTAAACATGTCTCTTTGTTAGAGTGCAGAGTGGGCAGGTTTCATGTGGGCAGTTAAGTATGGATGTGCATTTCTGTGTTGTGTGTATGTGTGAGCACATGAGATGAAAAACAACATGGTAATCACATAGCTGACACAGCAGCACTTTAGAAGAAAACCACATAAAATATTCACATCCATCTGCACCTATGTTAGAGACTGTCTGTTAGCAGCATTGTTTCCCAAACACCTAGYGGACTTAAATACCATTAAATCTCAATATGGAAACGTATACTCCCCTGGGGCAACTTTAAATTCAATATTTTAACCCATTTATTTTTTTTGGATGTGCTTCCCAGGTATACTAAAACACATTAAAATAAGGTGGTTGAAAAAWATCAAACCATTCCCAATGTAACTAAAAGAAACCATCCAAGAGTTTTGGCAGAACTGTGGAACACAACGTCTGTACCTGTGGACTGGAAAACACCGTTGTTGCAATGACAGTAACGCTGAGCAAAGGCTTCCATCATGCGGTCGATCTTCTGGGCTTCTCCAGGAAGACGAAAACTCCAGAGGAACTGCCTGTCAGGGGAGACAAGTCTAATCAGCAACAGTCTCACTTCCTCAAAAAATAAATAAAATAAATAAATCTCTCTGCTCTGGTACAAGACTGAAATGTCAGTTGAACGCTTGCAAAAAAAAAAAAAGGCAAGTCTTGAACCTTAACTTAATACTAACTTACACCAAAACAGAAACTAAAATTGTATGAAGACACTTTTGTAACGCATGCAAAGAGGATTTCTTACCTCAGGGCCTGAACAAGGTTGAGATCTGTGAATTCATGAAGCTCCACAAAAGCATGAAGGACTTTGATATTGAAGTCATCTCTAAAAAATAAAAATAAAAAATCACGAGAATTTTATTGCAGCAAACATTTCTACCCATCAATYTAAATTTAGGAAGATATTAGGGATTTGACTCATGAATCAAAATTATTAAAAGTAAAAATAAAAAGTATTAAAAAGGGTAGTATCTACTGAATTGTTAGTGTATTATTAACCAGCAAAATGAAAAAGGGTCATTTCATAGTTGCTAGTTTCGAATAAGTGTTTTTRTCTTTGTACTAGGGCTGCGCGGTATATGTGGTAGACGRTAGAAMCAGTATGAAGTYGGCCTACGGTAGAAATKAACCCTCTCCTGTCCTATCGTCATTACGTCATYGTACCTGTCAGCATGGCTGCGAGTGCAGAGACAACTGAGCAGGAGGAGTTCTAAATAAAACTAAGAAATTTTAGCATTTTAAAACGTGTAAAGAGAATAAATCCTCAAAATTTCCCCCTCCCGCAGTACAAAAGTTACGTTAGGATCATTTCATTCCTCCCTCCCTCCACGTCGCGCAGAGCGAAGCTTTAATAAGAGTTTTTTCACACCCAAGTTGTCAGAGAAAAAAAACTTGTTTTTATGTATTGTTACCCAMCACAGAAATGATAAGACGTGGACGTTCRATCAGTCATAAATCCAACTTGCTAATTTAAAGTCGGCTCCTACTCTGATGATGAAGATGAGCACGCAGCAGAGCAGCAGCTAATAAATTCAGCAGGCAGAAGCTCATTGTATGGCAGGCTGATATTAAAGCAAAAATGCTGGGTTTTATTAAGATTAGTTTTCTGCAGCAAAAAAGAAAAGCTCTAAAAATTACATTATCTTTACTTTTTATGATAATTTTCTACCGTGATATATACCGTTACCGTGAAGGGATTCAATTTATACTGTGATATGAATTTGAGGTCATACCGCCTAGCCCTACTTTGTGCATTTAAAAAAAAGATGTTTCAGTATATCAGACACTGGCAAGAGTTTACAAAAATACAGATAGATTTAGATACAAATGTATTGAACTGAGCTTGTGGAGTGGTGATTGATTTTATCTGAAAAGTTTGTCAGAGGACCTAAAAAGAAAAATGTGTTTAACATTTCAGGCTTGTGGCTAAAAATGACAAAGTGTGACACGAGTGTTACTCATTACAAATCAAACAGAGCAGACTTTTACCTCCCTTTCCATCCTTCCTGATTATCTACTCTAGATCATGAGATCATCACAACCTTGAAGTCATTCAGAGTAAATGATCTGTCCTTTGGGGATGATAGTAAGCTCCTCAGAGCTCAGAGTCATATCCAGTCACCACCACTCAGTGGACAAATGACCACCCAAATCTCAAGGCTCCCTCACTGCTACAGCCCCTCCTTACAGGATTCACTAACACTTTGAAAGCTTGATAAGAATACAGAAGATAGCATCCATCAGGTCCATTTCCTGGTCTGGCCCAAGAGCCACCCTAAGTGTACCACTGTCTACAATATAGTCCCTGAGCAGTGCAGATTCAACGTTAAAGCTCAAGATTTCCAGTATTATCTGTTCCCTCTCCAGTGAAATCTTCTTTTGTTTTTAAATGCATCATTCCCGAGCTGTGAGTCTCCCGTTTGTGTTACTTATGAATGAGCATAATTAAAAACAGATGGAGGAAAGTGAGTAATGGACATCGTCTTGAGATGATTCAAATGTGGAACTTAAAATCAGTGTTTGGGAAAGGATAGGTGTGCGCTTGACGAATCGGAAACAAAGCAATAGGAGGCACATGCACTCTCCATTTCATGYTTTTATCAGTCACGTGAACGAGTGCTGGTAAATCTGAGATCAAAGCACTGAAGATAGAGAAACAAAAACAAAGAAAAATTCTCCTGACCTCTCTCCGAGGTAATCTCCAATGGCTGTTTTGTTGAGGCCCTCGCCTTTGTASAGGAACTGAGCTATGTCGTCGCTGGTATTCTTCAGCAAGTCATTCTCAATCAGGAACTGAATGCCCTGTGAAGAAGACCGGGTCTCAGTTACTTCTTACCCATCAGAACTTGGCAGAAAACTWGTATTTCTGAAGAATATGAAAAGTTATTTCCACCAACCTTTTTGGGGTCCATGTTAAACTTTTTGCGGCCCATGGCCACCTGTTTATTCCTTTGCATATTTTTCCTAAAATTAAAAAAACATCCAGTTTTTAGTTTTCTTAGCACAAACATGAAGTACATATACATTATACACAACATACTATGGCATAACTGCAAAATAGCCTATGTGACAAATAGATGGTATATGTAAAATAATGAATGGGGGCTTCAAATAATTTTTTAATGAGTCTTTTAGCCGATAAGATTGAAAATGATGCAAAACTAATTCAAATGCAATGTTAAAGCTACTAAAATTGTTTAAAAAATAAAAAATAAAAGACTGTCTTGTTCATTTCCATTTCTGAGTAGTAACAAAAAAAAATCCAGAACAGAGATGGCGGGCTAAGACAATTTACATGAAGAGGAGATAAAAATAAAATAATCASTGCCACAATTTACTGTATCAGGATGAACCTAATATTTACAATGCAAATAAGCAAGGTACAACACAGTTTTTAATAAAATATACAAAAACAGACCTTTTGTTTCATGTTTTTTGTCAACAATGGTGATACTGTGTTCAAAAGGTGTTGATCGAGTAAGAYGTTAAAAAGCTGTGATGCATATGGGAATGTCAGTTTTAGCCTTAATAATAATTCATGGGTCAAAGCGCAACCATAGTGTGTGCTATTGTTATGGTTATGCTTTCATTTTACTTTAATTCATCGCTATTTATTTCCTGGTATTTATTTGACCCAGGCYTCCTTTGCAAAAGAGATCTGTAACTCARTGGAATTTGCCTGGTTAARTAAAGGTGATTAAATAAATAAAATCTAGTTTTTGAAAACCGAAATGTTTTTTTTTAATCTTTTCACCAAACTGATCACATGACAATCAGAAGGTAGTTAATGGGTTTCAGATGAAAGTGAAAGACTGCCTCAAAATCTTTGACAGTATCCCTATCCACTTGAGTAGAGCAAATCCAGGCTCTCCCTCTCMTGAGACCATCTATTGTCTGCTTCTACCAGTACACCCACTGCATTATTCAATGAAGACTCCCATCATGGGGGTGTGCCTGATGAAACATTTAAACTGCCTTAAAAGCAAAGCCAATTTAGGGAGGGCATACGGTGTGATGGAAAGCCTGACTTAGCCATCAAACATGAATAATTGACAGCTTCATTTTGCTAACTTAATAGAAGGGAAGCAATGAGCCAACTTAGGCAAAACAGAGAGACAAATGTGTAAGGGTGGGGCGTTTTTCTCACTTCTCCTCAGCAGAACCAAGGTTCTCAATCTCGCTGGTCACATCTGCTATCTCATCCTTCAGCCTCTGCAAAAGAAAAAACAAGGATTAATCTTTAAGTGCTGATAATCATGTGTTCACTAAAACCACCGTGGGGGATAAAAGGGTGTGACCAGCACAAGTATTTGTACTAAAAGGAAGCACTAAAAAAAGCTGAGGGAGTGGTCGAACCACCTGTTTGTCAGCCAGGTAGCCTTTTATTTTTATTACACAAATAAATAACATGGCTAAAAGTTCAACAGAGAGAGCAGAGTTGGTTTTGTTTTCAGACAATGCCGTATAGTCAGGTTTCCCAAGTAGACTAAACATTTTGTTTGGATGTGTGCTCTCACTATCCACTCAATCTGAATTTCAATGAGCAGAGCACATTAGGAGATAACCTCAATATGAACTGAGTAAGAAACCATATAAGTGGATTATATTTTTATGCAGCATTYAAGTGAATAATGGCCTCAGAGGCAGATTTAGTCGATTATTTAGGCCCAATGGTGCCAGACTGGCGCAGTACTGTAAGGGCACCGAGGATAGAGGAGGAAGAGAAGGTTGACATCAGCTTGATAGAAGAATTTTTGTGTATAAACATAAGCTTGGCTACTGTGTAAAATGAGTGGGTTAAAATACATCAAGTTTATATTCACCAAGCCACTTCATGCATACCCTGCTACAATGTTAGTGTCATTCTATATGAAAATTCTAACTTACTGAAGACAAACCACAAAGGACACATCTGTGTTTTCAAGGCCTGCGCAATCACAACACATTCTTTGGATGCTTGCTTCCACAAACAAAAGGCTGTGCTCACACAGAAAAAAAGACTGGGTGTTGTGGCGGGGTTGAGGGGGGGACCTTGACATGCAGGACCAGAAGAGGAGGGTGTGGGAGTCACAAAGGAGAAGAGGGGTCAGTGTGCAGACCACTGAGAGGGTGAAGAGGGAAAAACAGAGGTAGCAGCAGTGGTTGTTAAAGAGGTGGGGGGGAAGGGYARCGATGGTGTTCCAGACTCATAAAGAGGTGATGGATTGCACCTCCAGAGTCTATCAGGACCAACACAAGTCAAGTCAGCCATAATCTCATCCATGCGAGAGTCATTTACTTCCTGTTGATGGTCAGTGTGTGACAGCAGCTAACTAAAATCATCATGGACTGGGCAGGAATCAATAAAACACTTTTATGGAAATTCAAGGGAGCTACTTTGTATCCAGAATTTTACTTKGAAATACAGCCATATAAGTCATATCATTATTCATCTACAGTGTGTATAGAGCAGAGRTGATCCTCGAGGGCCGCAGCCCTGCATGTTTTACTTGTTTCTCTGCTCCAGCACACCTGATTTAAATGAAGGGGTGATTATCAGGCTTCTGCAGAACTTGGGAGAGATAATTCAAGGACTGAATCAGCTGTGTTGGAGCAGGGAAAAAAAGTAAAACAAGCAGGGCTGCGGCCCTCGAGGACCGGATTGCTCAACTGTCTGTCCATATTTGTGAACACCCGTTTTATTCAGAACAGTTTTTAAAAGCACCCAAAAACAGAACTTCTATTTKTAAAAAGGTTTGCTCTAAATGGCACACATAACACTGGTGAAAAAACAATGGACAACTGATTGAGGAAGTGGCATTTGGAAGGAAATACTTCACATTCCTCTGGGATTGTATTGTTCTGAAGATTCACCCATAAAGCCCAGTTTGCTTAACTTCAACAGTGACAAAAACATTTGTGGATCAAAGGAAAGGTATTTTATTTACCAGCATATCTGTTGAAACATTGAGGCAACTTTAATTCTACTTCAGACTTCCTTAAATGACCAAGTGACTCTTGTTTTTATTCCTTACAGATGAATTAACCTGGTAGTAATGGAAAAGTGACCCGTTTGATTTTCTACCCTTTTAGTGTTTGTGTTTTCTTATAGGTCKAAATCAGCCTACATGTCCTCTTTCCGTCTTACCTGAATGTCCTCCAACAGCTCCTGCTTTCGCCGCCGGATATTCTCCAGCTCTTGCTTTTCCTCCGGGGTGAGGTCGTCTGGCACTGAGGAGAGATAAGAGAGAAGATGAAAGGTGGCATCTTTAGGCTTATCTATGCACATTTATTTCTAAAGCATATCCCAAAAGGTACATCAGTGCACCAAAACCTGATTATACTTTTTAATTTTCCTTTAAATCAAAAGGCAAGAGCAAGGCCATGGCAAAAGATGCAAACTGATCTGCAGCAGGAGATAAAACATGTGAAGAGTTGTTCTGTGACTTATTTATAGGCAATGAATCAATCAACATGAAAACATGAAAAACTGACACAAATTGTGACTGAAGTCTGCAGCAGCAAGGTGGACTCTGAAGACGATAAAAAAGTGGCTCAATAAAAAAAAGGTCAGCCACGAAGCTCAGAAGAGCAGAAACGTGAAAAGTCTCCCAACTTCTGCCAGTTTCTGTCACTCACAAAATATGCAGTTATAATTAGCTTGGCCTGTGCTAAARCTCCACCTGTACAGAGAGCAGAAAGAGGAAAACCAGCAGTATCGACATGTTCACAATGCCTCTGCTCAAAACATTTCTTAACACATCATTCACTTTTTTAACTGAACTAAGTGCATTTTCTTTTTTTTCCCGGTTTTAACTCACATCAGCACTGTTGAATGAATAAACAAACAAACAAACAAATAAATAAAGCACATTTACGTCTCATCTGGAACTTTTTATTCACTAGAAATTCATGTTTTAACATTGCAATAATCATTAAGATAATGTTGTCCCATTCAAATAGATTTTCATCAAAATTTTCCTAAATTAATTACTACTGCTCATCCTGAGCACTTCAAGTTGAAACATGAAATGTAATAAACTAGCAGCATCATAGTTTTTAATCACAAGAGGCCTTTCTGAATCCCCCAGTGGCCAAGCCTGAGCCCTGTCCTGTGACCTTCTGCTCTCATCTTCATTAACACGACGACAGAGTTTAAAAGGTTAAAGGGGCTGAGCAGCAGATCAACTCTATAAAAACACTAAACGAAACAGAGCGCTGGAAACTCAGAGCAGATATATGCAACATCCAGGAATTAAAATGACTAAATTCACAAATTTCAACACCCAAAAAGGACATGGAAGACATGTTTAAATGCAAACTATGTCAACACTGGTCCCRCACTGATGCAACTGTGGTCCATTTCTGGTCTAACTAACCACAAACACAGCAAATAAAGTATTTCATATCAGGCGAGCTGTGAATGCTTCAGGAAATAAAATGTGCTAGGACACAGAAAAGGTTGGTAACTTTGAGACTGTGTGCACACTTCAAACCGATTAATGTGAATCCAGAGGTTTGCTCTGTTCAACAGTGTGCACAAGACTAGAGACAGGCAACACAGAGACCACACAGCACAGGACAGCAAAGACCAACAAACACACAACAACCACAGGATTCTTGGCTTAAAGAGAACCACACAGCAGAAAGCCTGACAGAAAAGCTGCAGAAAGGATTGTAATTTGGCTCTGAAGAGAAGAGAAATCTGAGCACAGACATTTTGAAAATTAAATGTGCTCACTTGCCTCATCTAAGAGCGCAAACAAGTACTTTATATAAAATCAGAACAGATGCAACATAGCAGCAGGTCTTTCATCTAACCCAATGGCCAGCTGACGTCCCCACACATAATCTGTCTTCACCAAAAGAAGCAGAATTAGTTCAGTCACAGCAGTCCTCAAGGCCTCAATGTGTTTCTGCTTACAAACTGTTTGAACCTTGAATTCATGCTCATAATAATGCTGTTTTTGGATCTGATGCACTGCAGCATTCAAATGATCAATTTCATACTCCAACCTAATAGGTGGCAATAACGTTCTCATATGTAGAGAMAGACCAAATGTTTTTCACAACACAGCAAATGAGGGAAGAGTTCATTTAATTAAGTAAACGCTGAAAGCACTGCTGGACTATCATTTTGCAAACCTCTGCACTGCTATGGCCAATAGAAAAGCCACAGCAAAAGCAACAAACAAACACAAGGAGACAAACGCAAATAAGGACTGAATGAGTACTTCTGTAAAACTGATAGTTAAAATATTGTTTTCATGGTTTRATGGTGTCAGTCTTTCAGTTTTTATAATGGACTGAAAAAAAACAGACAAGCTGAAGGAATTAAAATTGACATTTTGCAGAGTGTTCATATTTACTTGTGTAAACTTCACTTTACAAGCGCTCAGATGTAAAGTAGGACACATCTTCACATACAGAAAKGGTCATTCAGGTGCACTTGTACACAAGAACGTGGAGGTGTGCTTGCAGTGACTACACATGCACATCTTACGCCCACATACTGACGCTCATGGGAGGAACAACAGTTTTCTGTGTCAGGAATCAGCAACTTTATTGTGTTGCATCTCAACAAAAGCCAGGTTTCTGATCATTTTGATTTTATTTACTATATACAAACAAGAAAGACTAACTGTAAAATAAAACATTTTACAAACCAAAAAACAAGTCGTATTGAGGTAGATTTTAACCATTTCGAATTATGTTTAGGTAAGTAAGCGCTCAAAGTAAGTCACTAGTAAAATTACAGACATAAAAAAATAAAATATTGAAGAAAACTCTTAGTTTCTCTTTTGAGTATCTCATGAATTTATAATTTTGATACCCTAAAAATTTGGTTATGGTTGAGACAACTTCTATTAAATCACAACTACAAAAAATCAAAAATAAAAAAAACACTGACACCTTAAGCAATATTAAGAACAGTTATTCAAAGATTTTTGGCATTTGACACAGATTTTAGTTTACTAGTAAAATGAACTATTATAACACTCTCACCGGTGCTTACAACTCAGAATTTTATTAATCTGAAAATGAGAAATATAAAAAAAATCTCAGTCCAAAGTCACTTGACATTAGTTTGTTTTAAAGAGCTTACTTAAGTGTATTTTATTGTATGTACTACAAGTCTTACCAATAGAGAAGATTACTATGTAAAATATTTAAAGACTGGATTTCTGAGACTAGATTTTATTAGGTTAAAAATCTCAGTTTTATCCTTGCCCTCGTTATTTCAGTGCACTCTTTACTTCAGATTTATGACTCAAACCAGTCAATACCGTTTCCCTTTGAGAATATTGATGCTGCCTTCTGCGTTGCTGCACTACACATGCTGTAAAGTGTTTTTAACGTTTCTGTATCCTTTCAATATTTTCATGCTTTTGGGCTTACTTGAAAGCATCTTTCAAGCTCTAAACATTTTGACCGTACATATGGCCTTTTTGCTTGAAGTATCTAAAGAGTTCCTAAAAAGAGCAAAGCTGTTTTTAGTGAGGGCTGGGTCAACAACGAGCTCTGGGGACCTGACATCAAGGGAGACATCAATTATAGTTCCCTCTCCCACAGAGGCAGAACCCACTAATACCCATCCTGATTGCCATCCTGGCAAAGAAGGCAGACATCTCATTTCCAACAAGCTCACTGAAGAATTCTCCTCGGAAAATAAAGGAAATTAGAGTGATGTGCTCATAGGATCTCTGAGCCCCCCTCGCTGCAGATGTGACCCAAATTAAGGAGCTCCAAGGAAAAAAATAATATATTTGTAAAAAATTGTATTTTAAATACACAATTTCTTACCCATATTTCAACCATGGGTGATTTTTTTTTAATATTCATTGATTTGTTGAAAAGACAGCAATAAACACAACAGATGAGTTGTGCTTTCATCTACTAAATCCTTCAATGTTACAGGAGGGAGGATGTAAGGAGATTTTACATCTAAACGTTAAGACTGAGTGGTTCACAGCAGTTGATGGAGACAACAGTGAATAGATTTGCACTGCAACACTCTGCTGACGGAGGAAATATGCAAAGAGATGCACATTTCAGCAGCCACACTAATTTGCCTGCACTCTAAGGACATTTAGATGTAGTGCACTCTTGTGACAAGCAAATGAAAGACATAAAGAATGATCACTCTGTCTCTTACATCATTTGTTACTAAACGCAGTGTTTTATTTCACATTTCTGAGAATGAGGGGCAAGCAGACCCTTTTAATTAGGCTTGATTTGCCTTTTTCATTCCTCTCCAATAATTTGTCCACAATTAGTTTGTTTSTTTTCCAGCTATTTTAAGAAGAATTACAGTAGCTCTTTCCATCCTCCATTGGTTCTTTTCCCACTTTTCCACAAAGCCTTTGATGCTGTGCACTAACTCAGAGAACGCCTACAAATCTTAGTCACTTTAAAGCTAGAGAGATAAAGTTCTGCCTGGACCACGGGTCCAGAACGGGCTGTCTGAGCTCCTAGGAGAACAAGATGACTTAGTTTTCGTCACGCAACTACGTCAGCAAGGGCAGATTTCTTGACATCACGCAGAATATGAATCCAACTTAAGGCTCCAGTCAATCGACCACTTGCCAAAACCAATGACTGCCCCAATGGTAATGAGGAGCAGTCTACTTCATGATTTAATGAATTCAGCACAGAACACACACAATCAAAGCCTGCTGAGACTAGAAAAGACATGTACACCTCCATAAAAGTGTAGCAAATACTTGAGTTTTCTGCCTTTTCTATTTACGAGCTGCTTTAAGAGAAATAATTAAATTAAATAATGATTTGGTGTCTGTTCATTTGAGACTGAAGCTCATTAACTAAAGTAAATAAAACTCAAGGGAATAATCTAATATTTTTGAACACACACACACACACACACACACACACACCTTGAGCTTTAAACCATATGGTTTATAAGAAAGAGGAGTGAATACTATAAAGGAATTCCAGTTTTTGCTGTGGTCAACCAAAAGAACTTGTTCATCTGTGACCTTCCAGTCCACAGAACAGGGAACAGAAAAGAAAAATAAACCCATAACCAGGCTGAAGGGGGAAAGGCGGCCATGAATCAAAATTCCAAGAAGCATGCAGTCTGACCTGGCCTGTGGGTAGGCGAAGGTGACAGGGGACTGGAGGAGGAGGATGAATGAAGGAGCTCAGTGTTGAGGCAGGGGGGCGTGGGACAGCGAGTGGCAGCAGAACACAGAAACAGTGGGGAGAGTAGT